AACAGTCAGAAATGTGATGCTAATTTTATTATTAATCAGTCTACTATTCGGGAAGAAAATTCTTCCCTCAGAAATCAAAACAAGTTGCTATTTGTGGCAGTGGATTTCACCTCTATTCTTACGGTTTTCTCCTCCGTTTTTCAGGTCAAGTAAGGGCAGAGGCAGCCCGCAAAATCTTTCTAATTAACTAGTTTTACATTTGGCCTAAAACATATTGTCCTGAGTATCTGATTTACATGTTTGCATGTGCTAGCCAAAGCAACTGCCTGAACAGTCTGTTGAAGTAAGTGCTGGCCAGAAAAGACCTGTTCTAAAACTTTGCCTAGAAACCACCCAAACTGTGTAGCAACATTGTGGCATTTAATGGCTAGCAGACATTTGGGATAGCTCAGTGTTGTACTGTCCCAAAGAGGAACTGGGGAGGGCTTTAGGGGAAGCATTTGTTTAACTGCCAAACATAATCTGATCTGTTACTATTAGTCACATTCTCGTAACAGAGTGTACTATAAATATATCAGCTGGTGAAGTGACACGTGTGAAGTACAAACCGCTGAGTCTCCGCAGGAGGCATGTCCCTCCCTCTGAAGGCTGCTGATAGCATTTGCTTGCTGGGGCCTCTGGCTCAAGAGGGGTGGCATGTAATGGGCCAGTGAGGAAAATGGTTCACTGGCTTTTTGCATCGGAAGCTCAATGGCAGCTAGCGAGGACAGAAGGGAAAGGACCAGCAGAACTGGTACACCATAGAACTTAGAATGGTGTACACGCCTGCTTCTGAGAAGGGACCATCCCCTAACGCTGACAATTTTTATCCAATGCAATAGTATAAAACTGTGCCTGTGCACAATACAAACATGTAAAATACAAGAAAAGGCAGAGAATAATTATACTGAGTAAGCTATCTGAACACAGAAGCTGGGTTTTTCAGAAATTAAAATACCTTGCCAGTATTTGGTGAAGTGTATCCTTCATAACATACCATGGAGTCTCCTCCACTTGCTATTGGGAATTCTAAATTGTCATGTCCCAGATCCTCCTCTATATAGAGTCTTGTCCGTTCTTCTGTTGTGTCTTGTGCTCCTCTGTCGAAATCTGATTCTTGAGGCTTTGACTGATCCCCTATATTAACTGACAGATCTGCCGTACAAATTTCCTCTTCATTTTCAGCAGTTGCAGCTAACACTCTGGAGACGGAGCCACCTTCATGTGGCGAAGGGGGGTTACAGATAGCGCCAACGTGTTCACCTTCTCTTGTAGTATCTGACAAGTCTCTAGATACTTCGGTAACTGAAGAGTCAAGTATACCTCTCAAGTCTTTATCTTTTCCTGGTTTGGTATTGTTGCTGGTATGTTTATATGCTATGTCATGAGATGAGCTGGCTGAAGATGAGACAGAGGCAGGTACAAGAAAGGGCAGAGGAAGAGCTGTAGGAGAGCTGAGAGAGACCTCTGTATTTGGAATGAAGTGATCATCCTTAACTTGGTGACTGCTATTACCTGGGGAGATTGCTACAGATTGGGATGTTGTTAATGCCAAAGTATTGAGTTCTTCTAAGCCACAAAGAAAACTGTCTGGAAATGGTGGAGGAGGTAAGATGTACACGCTTGAAGGTGAAAAACCAACAGTCCTTGAAAACCAGTCGCTAGTGGCAGCCTGGAGAATCTTTTGATCAATGTGTGACCAAGAGGAGGAAAGGTGTCTGCAAAGTGGGGACTGTGCTTGGGAAGGCAACTTCAAAAATAAGAAAAACATAGGAATTTAAGTAAATAAATAACCATGATAGAGAACTAGGATATGAGTAGACTGGAAAAGAAAAATGTCTGTGCCATCATCTGGATTATAGGGTATCATTTCAGTGAGCACGGGTGTCTGAAATCGTTACTACATGAATCAGAACAGCAGGAAAGACATTTGAAAAATGAAACAGTATCAGGTTCTGGCTTGGGGCTTAAATGTCAAACATTAAGACAGATCTGAATCATTACACTCATGAAGGCGACCTGCATTTGGTCTGCTAAAGTTATGTTACTTATGGCGCTCTGTTAGTGAGCATGTCACAGGTTATTAAATCATACAATTAATATTAACATAATTTTCCCCGAACCATTACTGTTATTTTGACAATAGTATTTTCAGAAGTACACTTCAGGTGTCATTAAGTATTTCTTTTAAACTATAACACCCGAGATGATTTCTAATTATCCTAATGTTAATACTTCTACTTTTTCTTAGTGCTTCTGAGTAAATGCTTAAGAAACATCTTTAATACATTGCATACTTTTATTAAGGCATGAACAGCTACAGAATGCATTTTTCTTCAAAAGTAACCCTATTAGTTCAAAACGACATCAACATTTGTGAAAGGTACATTCAATTCTATTGAATGTAGGCAGTCAACAATACTTTTAAAATAGTGACAGCACAGTACACAGCAGTATACTTTGAGTACCATTACATAATATTGATTGAAGTATCCTTCTGGTAAAAGAAACGTCCTTTTGTAAGAATGAGAGACTGGTGAGTCATACGTACACAGCATCAGTAGATATCCATTGCTTCAGTAAATACTGAAAATGCATTTTTGTTACTATTAATCCTCAAAATTAAAACTGAATGAAAAATATTTTGATCTCATTGTTAGAATTATCCAGATTAACCTTCCTATTCTGCGACATTAATTTACTTACCTTCTGCTTGAATTTTCTTGAGGCAAAAGGCTTTATTTTCTAGTTAGACAAACCTTTGTTATAGTCTTCTGTACCAAAGTAAACAGTCTATAGACTGATACAGTGTAGTCTGCTAAAACAGAGCTAGGCTGTTACAAACAATGCTCAGTCTCTCTCCCTCATCTTTCCTCTTGAACAAGGGCCTCTAACCTGTGGTTTTAAGGTCAATAATACTGCTGAGGAGACATTGCCATTTTTAGTTTCCCATGGCTACAGGCTGCACTAGAACTAAAGATATAGATGGTCTAGGACAAGTTAAGGAGAGCAAAGCTTGCTCCTAACTTGTATTGCTTATTTATTTTTACTGCCATTAGGCCAGAGAAGTTTAGCGCAATTGCTCTAGCAACAGGGAGTGATATGTGCTAAAAAACCCCAAAGGAATAGGAAAAGTGGTATCAGCAATTGTGGTAAACTCCAGAACACTCTCAGGACTGCTAAAGTCCTTCTAGGTAGTCAGGAACATGATGTCTTCTTACATGGTATTGCCATTTCTGAATGCAGTTGAATTAAGAAACAAGATGTCTGTCTAAGAGCATCAGTAGAGGCTTTTTTTTTTTTTTTTTGACTTTTGCAATCATCTGGTTCTAGTATAAGTTTCCTATGTTACAAAGAAGGCTGCTTCCCCTTTCCTCCCCTACAGAACTAATTTAATAATAAATAACTTAATAATAGTGCCAGGACAATTTTGTAATCTGAATGTAAATGCTCTGAAGCATCACCTATGCTCAACAAGGCTTACAGGGGTTACACAAACACCAGCTTTAGCTGCAGGATGCCTTAGAGACAAGCCTGCTCCGTAGCAAATGGGGAGAGAGGCATCTCCAAATACAGAGAGACAACTCCATAATACGGAGGACCTAAGTTGCCTCATATCTTGACTTGCCTTCAGGAACCTCTGGATTCCTTTAATAATAAGGGGCCCTAGCTTATGAATACCTCAGTCTGCAGCTACAGAATTTGATGCTACTTCAATTCAACAGTTTTGTTGGAACGGAAGAGAGAGGAGCCAGTTCTCTGTTGTGACACGTTCTGGAAAACCAGACAAGACCTGTTCTAGCAACTATCCAAAACCAGCTAATATTGTTTAGTCGTAAGCAGCATTTTCAGAGGCCACTGTTGTCAATAAATGACATCTTTTGGTAGCTGTCCCCAAAGCTGCAAATAAATTTGGAACTTATCTCAAAGTTGAAGCATTTAAATGAGCATGAGTATGCAAGTATATGAAAGCAGAAAAGGGGGCAAAACCAACTGAAACAAATAGAGATTAATAGCAAGATAAGTTTATAATTACACACAAAACCCAGCGCCCATGCTGAAGAGATAAACAACAAAGGAAAAGAGGAAGATTTAGAAAAGTTTCCATCTTGAGCGTTCAAAATCATCGATAATACATTAATGCTAATCACAGTTTGCATGCAGAAACTTTCTTAGTTTCTATCACTGCCAAAGAGTTATGTTCCCCACACAGATGACTGTGAAATCTCACAAGTGAATGATAAATTGGAATACAGGAATCTTTTTGCAACATCATGTAGTATGATTTGTGGTGGTTATATAGACTAGGAAGGAAAAGAATTCAGAACCTACGACAGACACTTGGTGTGAAAAACTACAACTATAAAGGTCTGAATCCAAGCTCATTGACAATGCGATGACATTTGCCTCACTACTAAATGAAACAATACTGTCACTGTTGTCACACCACTCCAAAGAACCTCCGTCGTACCAACAGCCTCCTTCTAGAGTGTGAACGGCAAAAGGAGGAAGGTTATAGTACAGAATCATTAGCTGTTCTCCTTTACTTTGAAAGGCACAGAACTGGTCTTGGCAAGCTGTGTCCCCACACAAACTGCCCTCTCTTGCCCTTTGCATGCTTATGGGACTGCAGGCTTTTAGGACAGCTGTGTTATGGGAATGTCTTCACGTTGCGCTATGAAAAGTCTGCTAGACTTATCCTTAATGCTCAAATTCTGTCTAAGATTCCCAAATAAATTTTGTTCTGTTGGCTTGATTCTTCTGCCCAAATTGTGCCTGGCCCTACTCTCAATATTGTAATAGCTAATGAAGAAAAGAGCAAAAATCCTGGCAGAATGCAAAAGACACACTTGGCTATTAAAATGCTTTAATAACAAGTTAGTAATGCAATTCTACCAATGCAGGAAAGAAAATGTAGTGTACTTAATGCATGGATTATGCATTATCTTATGTTAACAAAAAAATTACGAGTCCTTCTAAACCCACTCTAGGGGTGATAGCAAAGAAAAAAAAATCCTTACCTTAGTTGAACTTAAATGGTGTATTCTGTCACTAGAATAGCTTTGGGGTATTGGAGGATCAGGGTAGTCATCAACACTTTTTGATGCATTCTTTTTGATGACTTCTACATAGGAAACAGGGAAGATGCCTTGTCTGTTGGTTCCTGGTATTTTACCTTCATACCAGTTTTGATCAACTCGCTTAAGAAGAATTACTCTGTCTCCCTGAAAGGCATTATGAAAATGAGTTATCAGCAGATACATTGTAAGTTTATTTTTTGAATAGCAGATATAATTTTAACACGTAGTATTATTTTCCCTGCAGTGCTGTTTCCCATCAGTCTTGAGAATCGTCTCCATTTTCACATTTCTCTTCCCATTTATAACAACCACGTATACAACTACCATTCCAGCAAAACGGGGGGCTAGTCACAGACTGCAAATACTATTCTTTTATCAGAGTGGAATCTCATGTAGTCTCCTACTCTTGGTTGGGGGATTAACATTTCAACTTTTCTTTGGATCACAACCTGTTTTAATTGTTGGCCAAACTACTAGCTAACACCCTAACTGTAATATGCAATAGTGACTGCTATGCCCATTTTTCCTTAAAAGTGATAAAAGTTAAACAATGAAGTCCATGCAAGTGCTTTGTTATCAGTAAAACAGGAATAAGTGGAGGCAGAAAGTTAAAAAATGAGTTCATGGGAAAGATGAGAGAAAGAAGTGCTTTTCCTGTGTAAAAAAGATGGGCAGTGGCTCACTTACTGTTTTTAGAGAGCTTAGCAACTGAAATGGAAAATGTCAACTTTCTATTCAAACATTTCTCTGTAGTGAAACAACATGAGCTACCCCCTCCTTTGTTTTACATGATGTGCTTTTTACCACGTGTCTGTCTGTAACAAATCCTTCCCTATTAGTTGTGTGTTCTCTTGGGTTCCTGTAATTTTGTTTCTGTAGTTGATTTGTGGAGTACCCCTAAAATTGTTTTCGGTGGGATGGAACAAAAGAAGACCAGTGCAAGTTAACTTTTAAAAACAAACCAAAACTGGGCTGTCAAGATTATGACTGCCACAATAAGCACAAAAGAGAATTTTAAAAAGAAATAAATCATCAAATTACTCCCAACCCTTACTTCTCTAAGTTCCTATTCCTGTTTTTTTTTAGACCCCTTTGATGTTTACCAATCTCAAATGAATGGAAAAACACCCATTATCTTCAGTGATGCTGGATTAGGCTCTAGGTCAGCATCAAAACAAAAACCTGTACCCTTACTCTTATTTCAAAAGAAAACCAAACCACTGACTAACTTCTATGAACTCTAATTCTGAAAAAAAAGTAAGAGGCAGAACTTTCCAGTGGATAAAAAGTGCATACTACTTACAACTAAGTATATAATATCTGCAATAATAAAGTTTCTCTACAGTGGTAATATTCCAGTGTCTGACAAACCTCAGAAATTAAACATTTATTTTGCTCATGTGCAATAAAGTATAACCACCAGGACGTGCATAGAAAGGTAAGAGAATGTTATAAAAAGCAGACTTAAATGAAATATTTGCAAGAACTGTGGTACATTTACAAAAATGTCTGTGAGCCTTTTTTCCTATATTTTTCTATTTTCTGTATTTTTCTATTTCTTCTATATTAAAAACCTTACCACGATAATTGTGACAGCAACAAGTAATTATTAAAAAAAGGGAATGGATAATTGAAGTGAAAACTAGAAATTTAGGTGAGCAGTTAGCAGATGCTTGCATATGCTAATCTACCACAATCCAGTTTACATGCACAACATATTTAAGCTATCTGCAGGTAGTTGTGAAAGACTGCAAGCCAATAAGCTATTACGTTAGTAATTTCCTACCATTACATTGCTTTGTGCACAGCAAGTAATGAACGCAGAGTGCACCAAAGCATAGTATTTACCTATATATTAATTCTGTATAGCAGTAGACACTATAATGGTATTTTGATAAAGATAGTTCTAAACTGTACCTTTCTAAGCGATAACTCCACATTTGTGTCTGCACTGAAATTATATTTGGCAATAGCTTCTCCAATCTCTCCAATCTGTGCAGGGGGAGGTGGCCTGGCAGGCTGTGCTTTTTCTGGGGGAGAAAGTTTCTAAGGAAGAAGAAAAAACACAGATTTTCGTCATTCCCATGCGGTTTGTGGACCTATTACCCAAACTAATTCAAGGAATTAAACCAGAGGACAAACCTCGACGTAAGAAATTGGGAATATTCCAACTCTTCCATGCTGCTCGCCCTCATACCAGTTTTGATCAATTTTCCTGAGGATATAGACAGTATCTCCTTTCTTAAAAGACAGCTCTCTGTAACAAATTTATTCAGATGAGATGTTTACAGTTTTACATTTAATTCCGCTACCTGCATAGTTTCTGAGATCTTTACAGTGCGGAACTGAAACAGAATGTAGGAACTAAACATTTGAAGAAAAAGTGTCACAGCTGTGGTACATTTACCAGTTGATTATACCATATAAAATGAAATGATTCACACTTACGAATCTCAGGTACTATCTGTAAGTTATACAGGCCTGTTTTACACTGTGATTTCAGGAAAGTGTTGCTAGTTATTACCAGAGCACTTAGTATAGGGTCTGCATGCAAGTATAATGTCTTTTGGATCGCCTGTTTAGATACTGCTTTTATGACAGGCATCTGAGACGTATTTGGGGTTCTTTATGAAATCAGTAGGGAAAACTATAGAATATATCCCATGTCTCTATGGCCTATTACTACCTTTTTTGCAGTAGCACAGCTTGGCGTGCTTCTGCTCTACACATTTTTCTTTCAAGACAGCTGTTCAGGAGCATGAAGAACACAGGATTATGTTCTCACCATTTCTGATACTCAGGGTCTGTGATATGCTTAATGTTGGATACCAAAAAAGGGAATTATCCAAATCATTAAGAAGATTTTCAGATCCTGGCCTGGGAATTCTTTGGTATATCATTCATTTGGTTTTTCAAGAGCTATTCTGCTGTTCTGACAATTCAAGAGTTTTCTACCAGACACAGCTAATGGAATTCTAGTGGCAATGTTTGGCCATATCTGAAGATCGTTTATGCTTAATGTTGGATACCAAAAAAGGGAATTATCCAAATCATTAAGAAGATTTTCAGATCCTGGCCTGGGAATTCTTTGGTATATCATTCATTTGGTTTTTCAAGAGCTATTCTGCTGTTCTGACAATTCAAGAGTTTTCTACCAGACACAGCTAATGGAATTCTAGTGGCAATGTTTGGCCATATCTGAAGATCGTTTAAATGCCCCGGATTGTCAGAACAACAGCAGGAACGAAACACAATGAAACACAGGCACTCTACTTTGACTCTCTCATATCCTGATTTTGTTTTCCTTGTGGAGCACTGTGGGTTGTTTTGGTATGGGACATGTCACATCCTGCAGAGAGCCTGTGTGTGTTATGACAGACAGGAAGATGCTGAAGCATTATACAGAATTTTGATAAGAACACTATCTCTGGCAGTATTTTAAGCACTATACCTTGTGTAACCTAAATACAATTCACAGCAAACGAAGAGCGTTCAGTGGGTGACCCTCAGGACCAACGCTCTAGAAGGCTGAAGATGCACAGCCATTCATGTGTTCAAACAAATACAATGGAGAATATAATAATTTAAGACATTTTTATTACAAAATAACTTCTCACACAGTTTGCTAATGCAGAGACTACTGTGACAGCAAGCAGGGTCCTCTGCTTCCATGGCATTTGTCGTTGAAACTGGCTAGAACAGCAGTTACCTGCCACAAGTGCTAGACAGAGTTTTCTTGAATTATGAGTTCTTAAATGAACAAAAGTCTAGTACTTACTTAGAAGTCTGAGCTTTAAAGTCATACACAGCTCTAGCTGGCAGTTTCTGAAAAGCAGGCAAAGTGATTAATAAATTCAGGTAGTATTACTATACGGTAAACATGTTTCAGCTTTTAAAAAGGTGACCAAGATCCAGAAAGAAAAGGACGTGTGCTTTACAGCGGTTCTTGCAGTAATAGGCAATTAAATACACAGCTTCCTTTTTTAAGGCCACAGCTTCCTTTTTTAAGGCAGTTAGGTGTTTGGGACTTAGTATTTTAAAAATAGAAATAGCAGCTAAATTTTAATATAGACTGCTTTGCAATTTTATGTTTAGAGAACTGTAAAAATAAAAAAAAAAGTTACTAAATGCCAATGTGACTTTTAAGGAACTAGATCTCTAGGTACAATGGGAATTCACAGGCTTAATAGTCTCTAATACTTCAGATGCCTCTTCCGTTGAACTTGTTATCTTTAGGCTAATTTCAACTGCAAATACTGCATCACATTTTTTTTTTTTATATATATATATATCTGAAGAAAAAATTACTGACAGGTGGAAAAGGGTGGGAATATTTTGCATTTCTATAATCACACTCATAGTTTTAAGAAAGTCTGAGAAACACAGGACTGGAAGTGATCTCCTGAATCATCTGCGCAGCTCTCTTGCAATCACAGGCAATCACATCATATCATTCCTTTCATGTATTTATCAAGTTCTATCACCAAGTATCTGTAAGCTCAATATTGTTTCAAAAATAAACCTGTAAAATAACCCAACCTCTCCTCACCTGTGTGGCTGACACTTACACTTTCACTGTTTTCAAAGCTGTGCTGAAAACACGAACCCAAGAACCTCACTCATCTAGTGCCTGCCCCTGATGGATAACCAGCACTAATACTTCAGAGGAAGGTGCCCGAAGTGATCAGCAGTATCATGTAAGGATATTTGGGAAAGTGATTTAGCCTTTCTCTGCAAGTACTTGCGCAAATGAGATTGCTACATTTTAAAAAATCTCTCTCTATGTATTTTCAAATTGAAAGATGACTTCCAACGTCACAAAACTCTTTAAAAGGAACAGACAATATGGTTCCTGGGTCTTTTTTAACCTTTCTTTTATAATGAGCAGTCTTTTTTTAAAATCAGACTTTTAATCAAATTGCAGCAATATAACCATGTCAGTGCGGTGTAAGTGGATCTGAATTCAGATCCTGTAACCAGTTCTAACCTGTACCACCATTTAACAAGGTAGATGACCCAGAGCAAAAACTTAAATATTAGCAATTAAAATACAGTACTCTCTTATGCTGCCATTATTTTGTGCAATATTTTAACAAAAATAAATGGAAAATGTTAATAATCTATGGTCTGTAGTTGTTGGTTAATATAAATGTACTTACTCTATGATTGAATAAAATCCCTGAAGCCTGTGTGGAGAGCATTTGTAGTTCTAGATCTAGAAATATTCTTAAGATACTGAATGATATACTCCATTTTTTTGTGTATACTTTTCAGTGATACTTCGTGTTGTATGCCTGCTTCCATTTCTTCTTGCAAAGCATTAACATAAGCAATCAGCACATAATTACAATCACCAACTGTTACAGAAATTAGAGATCGCTCTTCGGATAAGTGGTTTTGTCTAACACACTAACAGCAGTGTTTTTGCTTTTTCAAAACAAAAATAATGGTGAAATACAGACGTTCTTTCTATCAGTTTTGAAACTACTGAGGCAGTTTCTTTGTGTAATGCTCTGATTCTCGAAAGAGCCTTTTCCCAGTCACATCTGCTATTCTTCGCTGTCCCAAGCACCCACTCTGGTCAACTTTGACAGAGCCTATCAATGACTAGTAAACTTATGTCCATACCTATTTAAACATAAATAGAAGACACAGCTTATCTTACAAAGCTTGATATTCTTTTAATTTCTTGAAGTACCTATCTCCTTAATGAAAAAGAAGGATGCTGTCCCATCTGATGATATGATAAGTAACTGTTTCTTTGGTCTGATTCATTACAGTGTCTTAAAACCAACACAAATCTTGCCTCAGATATGTTTACCCAGTTTTCCATATGGATATTGCTGCATTATTTATTGTTATTTCACTACCTCTTTGTCTGTAGTTCCTCTTCTCTCCCTTGGAGTACATCGTCCCACATCAGTGAAAGCAGAAGAATAGCTTCCAGGAGACTCCTGGTCTACTGAAAACAGAAATTATGTGAAACTATGGTAAATTAAACAAAACCATTCAAATCTGTGATGCTGCTTGGTTTCATTTAGGGGGGTGAGATATTGAAACCTATTATTTTACCTTTAATAGAAAGAAAAGCATGTGATATGATGGCTAAAGTACACCTTTAAAGAAGAAAAAGATACTGACTCTCAAGCAAAGGCAAAGGCTGTCCTCTGATCCACAGCAGAAGAATGTATTATAGAGGATCGAGAGAGCAAAATTATGCCTTACTGTACAAAGGGATGCACCCCTGACAGCAGTACCGGGACTTCATCAGGTTGCAAGAAACTGTTTCGGAATGCCAACAATATCAACACATAATTACACGCACAAAACATGATTACAGCATGCTTCAATGAGAAAATAGCGAAGTAAAATTGTTTCTTCCTAAGTGATCTAAGATGCATTTCTACTTTACCAGGGGCACTTGTTAGGCAGCACAACGGAATTTAAAAGGATGTTATTTCATAAAAGCAACTCTGTTTTAAAGAAATGGAGTATAAATTACTCACCAATCTATGTGGCAGATTTTCTCTAAAGCACAGTTTACCAATGTTTATTATAGGATGATATATTATAAGATGGTGAATACATCTTTTCATGTTTTAATAAAAACAAAATCAAAATCTTACACTCTTTATAGCTCTGCAAGTTGCCAATGTGAAATGAAGGTATATCGGAATTATTTCAGACCAGAGGATGAAATGAACTGCCTCTCGATTTCTGAGATTTACTATTTTAGTCTCCTACTGCCATAGTGATACCTGCTAGTGGAGACGTATCACTGATGTTTGTCTTCCTTTGACTTCATTCACAAACCTTACCAAGCCCATACATTTCTAAAGAAGTACAAGTGGAAAAAAAAAAGAACTGAAAGCATCTCATCCATTATATTGGGGTCTTACAGAAGAATGATGTAAATCGTCTCCAGTGGGCTGTTGGCTAAGCCACAAAAACTTGAGGCTATTGATAAATACAGTGGAGGCAAAAAATGAGATAATTGTATTATGTATGTCATTGGTTGTAAGCACGTCATCACCAACGAGTATATCACAGTCCCAGTTCTGGACAGCTTTCTTGATACGGCATGTGTCTGTGAATCTATGCTCACTGCATAACCCTAAAGATATAATGCCTCCAAACACATTAATTTTTTCTTTAAACTCTAGCAGAAAGAGAAGGACGTGGGAGGGAAGGAGAGAAAACGCAGCAGCTTTAGAAAGAACAATTTCCTTTATTTCTATACAGCTCCTTATGCAGTCAATATTGGTAGTTTTTTGCTATGACCTTGGGGTCTCCATGTGGATGGTGGCTGTAGGAGACACACACAGATCCAACAAAACATGCAACTTCATTAGAAGTAGAGCTCAGCCATGGCTGGTACTGATGGAATATTCTGCTGTTCTCATTCTCCATGCTACTTTAGGGATATTAATGTTGACAGAGTGTACCTTTTCCCTCATGCCAGGCTCCTTCATAGCTGCAGAAGCTATTAAGAACCCACGTTTACTCTGCACTGTGAATTTCCTTATTTTCAAGGACTGGAAAATTCTCATTTAGCAACTGTGATATGTGACCAGTCCAATTTCCAACAACTTCAGTCTCTTCGTGTAGTACTGCCTGCAAGGGTTAACCATGATCAGGCCTCAAGTATGACTAATTCAATTCTGAACTGCATTTCATAGCTGTTTTTTACCAATTATCTGTTCTCAATATGTCTATTTTAACTAGTTAAGAGCAGATGGTTAACAGCTTCAATTCCGATTTATCTTGAAACATATATTTACTAGTGTGGTACTTGCAAAAGTTACAGAAAAAGATGTGAGATTAAAGATAAGTAAGATGGGTTTGACCAAATATTGCATAATTGATATATTAAAGACATTCTCTCTTACATCCATTTGTGATTTCAAGAATAGCTTTGTAATGTTATTAAATTCTCAAGGATGCTCTGTCACAGAGGGCTATATGTCTAGAAGCAGAATTCTTTAACACAGAAATGTTACCATTTAAAAAGAGAAATAAATGACAGACTTGCCAGAGACATTAGTCTAAATCATATGGGATACACCTT